TCATCATCATCATCATCATCATCATCATCATCATCATCATCATCATCATCATCATCATCATCATCATCATCATCAAATTCCTTAGACTAGTCGACCGTTAGGGTGCTATGGATGACTTTCTATCCCTCTTCTGTTCATTGTTAGACTTTCTCATACTTACTTACTTACTTTACTTTATCCGTACTCTTGTACCTCTACGGCGTCGAGGGGAGAAAGAGCTGTTTGTTTCTAGCACGTTTGATGACCTGGCGGGGTGGAATGTTGTATGTTCTCAAGGTATCCTTCACACCCTCGATCCAGGTCTTTCTTGGTCTTCCTGTTGCGTTGTACCCTGATATTTTCCCCATAGTCCGGTTTAAATTAGTGGCCCATACAGTCTGAGATGTTGACTACCATTTTTCTTCTTCTGCCTTCCTATCCTTTTTTCTTTGTTCCTGTACCGTGAGTAATGGGCAGTTTTTGACAGACCACACGGCCTAACGATGTGTCCACACCACAACAGTTTGCCAATTTTCACAGTGGATAGCAGATCACCATAAAGCCCTCCATTTCGCAGAACTATTTACATAACTTCTACATAATCTGTGCGATCTTTGTCTGTCCCACCCAGGAATCGTCAATAGTGTATCAATCACTGCAAATCTTCCGTGGGTGATTGGCGGGTGCTATGGTGTGGTTTACTCCTTCTTTCCTTTCAAACATCTATCGTCCTTATCTTTCCTCCTTTTTTGTATTTGTTACTTTCTTGTAATACCTCCATTCCTCGACACTTATATGAGCCAAATGGCGTCGCAAGTGCCTTCAAAACTCTCAAATTAGAACATAAAGTAAAACATGTGACGCTGTGAAATCGTTAACTAAAACTTCAGTACAGCGAGTATATCCATGTTTTCCATTAACGCGTCTTATCTTGTGTTTTTCACTGTTCCATCAACTTAAACTCTGATCTGTTCCTTTTCTCCCCGCATCAACACCAAACAGGGTACTAAATACACCCGTAACTCTCTTATCTCTCCGCCTAGATACTCTCTCTCTCTCTCTCTCTCTCTCTCTCTCTCTCTCTCACTCTCTCTCCCCTCCCTCCCTCCCCCCTCTCTCTCTGCTCTCTCTCTCTCTGTGTCTCTCTCATTCTCTCTCTCTCTCTCTTTCTCTCTCTCTCTCTCTCCCCCTCTCTCTCTCCCTCTCTCTAAAATCAATGCCCAACTCTCAAAAGTGTACAAAAAGAATGGACAATACGAAGGCGCTCGTCAGTCTGGTCTTCAAGCTGAATGATAAATCGTTATGTTGCTGCCAGCCCAGATAGTCTTTCATTTTAAGTTTCAGCTTCTCTCATTTAACTTTGGTATCAGCACTGAGTCGGTTGATGTTGCTCGTCATCTTTAATTAATTTAGTACTGTCTGCATGCATTTCCATGCCGTTAGCTGAAGAAATCTTGTCGAGGCATGTCATCATAAACTCTTTAATATAATGCTCGTTTTTACACATACAGTAACTCTGAACCGGGCTCTACCCCTCCTCTCCCCACCCCACTTTTTCCGTCGTATCAACCCCCCCCCTCCCCGCGCCCAACCAAATACCCCTCAGATCTTGCCTACAGATATACGGAAGAAACAGTTGTCCCCCCTATGCCCCAGATCCCATCCATTCCGGTTGGTTATGGAGCAGCCGAGAACATTATGAGGTAAGTTGCTTTTAGGTTTCTCTTCTCTCTTTGATGACAATCTTCTTCTTCTTCTTCTTCATCTTTCTAGTAGTAGTAGTAGTAGTAGTAGTAGTAGTAGTAGTAGTAGTAGTAGTAGTAGTAGTAGTAGTAGTAGTG